CCCCACCCCAGCCCCGAGCTGGGACCCCAAGGGACCCCAAACTGGTCCCGGGTCCCCGTGCTGGGACCTACCCCGGGTCCCCAGTCTGGGAGCGAGAGCCCGTGGCCCCAAATCAGCCCCATGTCCCCATGCCGGCACCGGCTCCGTGTCCTCGGGCCAACCCCCGGACCGCGGACCGGGAGCAGTCACTTGTGCCCAGATAGTCCCTGGGACCCCGAACTGTGTCCAGACCGGTGGCCCCAAATCGGGAACAACCCTGTGTCCCCAAACCAGCCCCCTGTCCCCAAATCCTAAACCCGGAGCAACCCCCCTGTTCCCAAATTGGCCCCATGTCCCCAGACCGACCCCCAGACCGTGAACTGGGACTGAGGTGGTGTCCCCAGACAGTCCCCATGTCCCCGGACCAACTCCTAGATCCCAAACAGATAGCAACCCCGTGTCCCCAAACTGTCCCTGTGTCCCTACACCAACCCCACAGTCCCGAACTGGAAGTGACCCAGTGTCCCCAAACTGCCCCCATGTCCCCGCACCAATCCCCAGACTCCGAACAAGGACCAGCCCTGTGTCCCCAAACTGTCCCCGTGTCCCCAAACCAACCCCCAGACCCTGAGCCAGGAGAGACCCCGTGTCCCCAAACCAGCCCCATGTCCCCAAACTGTCCCTGTGTCCCCAAACCATCCCTGTGTCCCCAAACCGTCCCCGTGTCCCCAAACCAGCCCCACGTCCCCAAACCAGCCCCACGTCCCTGAGCCGGGGTGCGGTGGGTGGCAGCCCCGGCCAGCTGTGGGTGCCGGGGGGGGGGGGCGAGGGAAGGGGTGTCCACCTGAATTTTAAGTCCATTTTTGAGCTTTTCCCCTCTTTTTTAGTCTGCGCTTCCCCCTCCAGTTGGCTCTGGGTGGCCGATGGGGAGGGGGGTTGTCCCCAAAACACCACGGGACCCCCCGCCCTGACACAGGAGGGGGCCTGGCCTGACCCCCCGCTCATCCCAATTAGCCACCGGGCCCAGCTGCGGCCCCCTCGGCCCCCGCTGTGCCCACCCCATGCCGCCACCGCCCCACGGGGTACCCGGTACCCCACAG